ACACATATACAGTGAGTAAATGGCAACTCATGCGTGTTTCCTGATTGCCTGTTTTGTGGGTTGGCCCTGTGTTTAAAATCTTGTTGTAATATCTTAGTAAGGGTAAAATTAAATGAGCATGAGGAGTTGGTTTGTGTACTTGATGTATACGTAAGGCAAAGGTAGAAGGCGGAACTGTGGGGGTCAGTAGGGACACATTGCTTAATTTGATTCATATTTTAGACAACTTTGTGCCTTCAACTTTGCTGCAACAAGTAAGATAACCTTAGTTTTAATCAATTTCCCCTTGGTGGATCAATAAAGTATTTCTGATTCTGAGATCCACAAATAAATATTTTTTCAGTTTGGTATGGAAACTGTCACCTAAAACAACTCCTTCAGGCCTTACCACCCAACATCAGCGGCTGAATGGTTGCATATATCTGCATCCAGGTTACACAGTCTTGTGAAAAGCCTTTCCAGATGGGGATGAGGCTTATATACTGCAGCTTATTTCCCCAGGATTTTGGGATTAGAGGGTCAACAATTACATGTGAGTGTAATGTCCAATGTCCACATACTTTTGGCCATGTAGTGTATGATGCCTTTTTTTTAGAACTAGCTTTAACTTTCATTGTGAGCCAACGGTGGGCAATAAAATGAAGTGCTAATTGCAAAGACTCAGTAGTGAGTTCATGCACCTGTAAGGTTGCTGTAGAGGTCAGGGTGCCACTATCGGCCATATATATATATATTTACTTTTGAAGAGTGTCATTCTGTGTTGTCTTCTTCTTCCTTCAGCAAAGTGGACCAGGAGATTGTGAAGGTGGTCCAGAAGCGTATGAGGGCCTGCCAGCATAGAGAAGGAGCCAGCTACAAGCAGAACTGCGCCAAAGAAATGCAGCAGTTCGAAGAGGTGACCAACGCCTTCACCTCACGCTGTAAGTACCGTGCTGCTGGAGCTTGGACGTGTGTGTGTCTGTGTGTAATAGAAAGAAAAAAGTGAAAGCATTCAGGAGTCCTACATGTGTCCTGTTACACTGCTGACTAAATATAACAATGTGGTAAATGCTTTGATCACACTTAATGTGCATTATTATACAAATGCAGTAAATTGTGCAACAGGTATTGTTTGTTGCATGTACATTGACGTCTTATGTATCCTCACTGTTGGCTACCACTAAATGCGTTTAATTCATGACCTGCCTCTTTCCAGACGGGGACCTGGGAGTGTACGCCAGTGCGAGGAAATGTCTAATGAAGCAAAAAGAGCGGATGATGGCTGCACAGGCCCAGAATGCTTAAGAACAGCCCTCCAACTATCTGGCCTGTGTAATAATTGTAAAATAAAATGTATGTGATTAATCATGTGTGTTAGTGTCTTTTCATCCTTGTCCTCAAAGTGACCCACCCATCTGTGACAGTGCGAGTGTCCCCATTACCAGTGTTGGGTAACATCACTTGTAAAAGTAACTTGTTGCATTAAAAGATTACTTCCATTAAAAAGTAACTAGTTCCAACCAAAAATGAAAACTGCTTTGCATTTTCTTGGACTTGTTGGTTGTTTATCACAGGCCACACAGCCTGCTGTATGTATTTATCTTTGAATGTATTAATAATCTGTAACTGTAGGCTGATTACAGAAAGTACAAGTAACTAACAACACAAACCCATTGGGGATTTTTGTTAAGTTACATTACTGGTTACAACAAAAATACACAAGCTACTCTTTTGGGCTCTTGTAAACAAGCACATACTACAAAGGGTAAATAGTTTTCCACTTTGATACATGACCTGATTTAATTAATACTCCCTCAGATATACTGAGGAGACAAGTTTGTCTCCAGTCAGATTTTATATAGCAGATAAATATCCCCTTCATCTCAGGAGGGATTGAACCGAATCCATGAGCAGAACTGATTTTTGCGAATGATTTCTGTCCCAACTGCTGTCAACTTTTTGCCAAAAATATTCTTGTCAGTCTTTCTCCAAAAATGTCTGTATCAATTGTACTGATGGATCATACTGCTATAATGGAATTCTTACAGGGTTCCTACAGATCAAATCAGTTTCATTTTGTAGACCCATTAGTTACTTAAAAAGGTTTGTTTTCACACTAAAAATGTAACTTTATACAACTTATTCATCCGAAAAATGTTAAGACGTTTCATAAAGACAATTTTAAGACCCAGTCATGCTCACTCCAACACAAAACTTTAGTTACCAACATTTCACGACACTGATAATGTCAAATTATGTAATTACTGTGCTTTGTAGGTCCTTAATATTAATCAACACCTCTGTTCTGTCATGAGTTCAACAAAAAGTAACCAGACAGACATTAAATGATGTTTCAGAACGTTTATTCAACAGTTCTCTGTATAAAAACTTTAGGAAGGAGGTGCCTGGACGGGCTGTCCCCTCTGCACTGACACCCTGGTGTGAGTCTTGGCCAGATGGTCGGTGAACTCCTGGAATGAGAACAAAGTAGAATGTTTTTAAATACATGAACCTCACATGTTAAAAATCAAGACAAATGAAGTCTGTGCTGTGTACTGTACCTGGTAGGGAGACTTGGTGAAGACGGTCTCCTTCCACAGATCAGGGGTCAGGTAGCTGTAAGTCTTGGAGATGGCGTCAAAGGTGGCCTTGGCTGATGAGGAAATAAATGAGTAGGTATTAAAAAGACGAAGCTCCAAGAACATAAACAGTGCTGCAATCTTTGGTTTTTGGGGGGAAAAAATGTTGAGTACTGAAAAGGGGAACAGAAGAGACCACGAAAAACGTCTTTCTGCCGTGCATTACAATACTCGTTTCTTTCTCTCCGGATTACGACAACGACACCACAGCAGAGGTGAAGCTGAGCAGAGCAAGGAGAAATACAGATGAAAAGCTGCGAAACCATAAAAAAAAAAAAAAAAGACAATCTTACCAAAGTTGCCGAGGGTGGCGGTGCAGCCCCTGGCGGAGGTATAGCAATCGTCGATACCAGCCATCATGAGCAGCTTCTTGGGCACAGGGGCGGACACAATGCCAGTACCGCGGGGGGCAGGGATGAGACGCACCAAGACAGAGCCGCAGCGTCCGGTCACCTTGCAGGGCACGGTGTGGGGCTTTCCGATCTTGTTACCCCAATAACCTCTCCTGACGGGGACAATGGACAGCTTGGCCAGGATGATGGCCCCGCGGATGGCAGTGGCCACCTCTTTGGAGCACTTCACCCCCAGACCCACGTGACCGTTGTAGTCACCAATGGCAACAAAGGCCTTGAACCTGGTGCGCTGACCAGCCCTGGTCTGCTTCTGGACAGGCATGATCTTGAGCACCTCATCCTTCAGACCAGAACCCAGGAAGAAGTCGATGATCTCAGACTCCTGCAGAAAAATAAAACACATTAGAGCATTAGATCAGGGTCCACTGCTGTGGTGAGACGACGAGATCTACCCTCGTATAGTTTTGAAGGTTATGCTTCAATGCAGCTGCAGGTTTCACACAGAATCTATAAGATTGGGGTCTGTAGGCACTGGTGCAGCAACTCAATAAGTTCCATTATACAGACACTAAAATATGTTAATCCCAGTTTGTTTAATAAAGAGAAATACTTTTATAGAATTTATATCCTAGTAAACATGTTAGTCTTTCCTAGACTAGTCAGATCATTTAAAGAGTTAGGGTTATAGAAATACCTTTAAAATAGTTTTTAGATGTGAAAAGGACCCGTTCTTTTTTTTTTTTTTTTAATGGTCCAGATGAATATTTAAGAGAAAGTGATGCTGAGCTCTCAGACTTGAATGTGATGCTATCAAAGGAACAAACACACACACACACGCGCAACAGACCTCCTAGAGATCATCCTTAATAGCTGGCAGTGTTTCCCCTCACATAATGCATACCTTGATGGGCAGAGAGTACAGGTAGATCTCCTCCAGGGACTTGATCTTCATGTCCTTAACCAGGCGGCCCAGCTTGGTGACAGGAACCCACTAAGAGAAGTAAAGAGAAGAGCCTCGTAAGAAAACTCCTTTTGGATTTAAGAATCATTATATTTAACCAAATAATCCTTGAAGCGCTTCAGAGTCTTAAACTTACTTCCTTGTCCTCGGACTTGCCGCCCCGGGCCCCACGGCCCCGACCGCGGCCCCGACCACGGCCCCTGCCGCGTCCACGGCCACGATCGCCAAAACCTCCACGGAAACCTCCTCTACCACCGGCGTCGTCCGCCATTTGCTGAAGAACAAAACAAAATTCATAATTAGTATTTAACTTCAATCTCTACAGCAATAGAGATCCCACACCGAGCACGAGTCTCTCCATGTATCTCACAGCAGACGAGCACCAGCCGCCATGTTTACCGGAGCTTTCAGTCAATATTTACAAATATCTCCAACTCTGCCTCAGTAAGGTCGTAAATACGAGCAGAGTATCTAAATAACACATTCAGATATACTTCTGTAGCTATAATCAATGCGTTTGGTGGACAGATGTGTGAGATAAAGAAGGATTTTGATCGAGATGAGCTTGGTGCCATCACACTTACGTGATCTGTATAACAGGAAGAAGACCGGGGGGAAGTCTCGCCGGGTTTTATTCAGAAGGCGTTATCGCGATATTTCCTACAAGTGAAAACCGTTCTGACTGCTGCCCCTACCGGCAGCTTTTATAGACATCACCATGTTTTTGAATGATTGCAGTCAGATGTTATTGATTTTATTTTACATATTGTTGATGAACATGGTTATATTTTAGTATTAAAAAAAAGAAGTGATTATAATAGAAGCCATCCTGTTGGAAGATTTTACTTTGTCATACACATATACATTTTATAATTGTATTGCTTTTGTGTATTTGTTCTGTATGTTCTACATTATGGTCACTGATAATGCCATTGTATGTATTTTTCAGTAACATATAACCTCATCATTTCTTTTTTTGTGTTCATCCTCATTCATCAGTAGATCCAATCAATAATAGAAGATATTCAGCTTTCCACTCTTCTTGTGAATCAACATCAAATGACAGTGTAATGTTAAATACTTTTATTTACAAAAGTGATGAAACTACAGCACAAAACTGTTACAAATGCACCCATTTTAATCATTGCCTACATATTCAAAAACACACACCTTCAAAGAAATTAACACATTCAGAAATTATACACAGCAGGAGCAGTAACTAACTCGTCTCTCAGCAGTTGCTGTTGTTGCTACTCGGTGTCCCACTGGAGCTGGCGCTGCTCTCTCCCAGGTCCTCCTCTTCTACTTCGTGCAGGTCATCCATCACCTCCAGGCTCTCGCAGATCAGCCCTATCTGCCTCTTCATGTGGGCCATGGTGCTCTGCATCCTCCTCATCTTCCTCTGCAGGGCCGTGGCGATGGCCCTGTGGTTCCTCTGTCTGGCTTCATACTCCTGCCTCAGCTGCTTGTAGCAGTTGTGTTGAGCCTGTGTGCGGTGGGAGAGTATCGTCCCACAGCCCATGTGGCAGGGCTGGCGCCAGTGTTCACAGTGGCGTGCGTGGGTGTCCAGGTCCCTGCGGAGGAGCTGCGCCCGGCAACCCTGGTACGGGCACGGGATTAGCTCGTATAAACAGCTCATGCTGTGGCAGAACTGCTCCGACAGGGGGAAGGTCTCTGCACAACCACGGATCTCATTTTTACACTGTAGGAGGCCAGACATAGAGAAATATAAAGAAATCAATAGCTATAAAAGACATGGTTCACATACTGTGTGACTGCAGCATGGAGGGAAAATCCTTCTTAACTAGAGGTGACTTTTTATTATTCAAGTAGAGGTAAAAGTAGCAATACTGCAGCATAGAAATACTCAATTGTAGGTAAAAAGTACTAAATAAGAAGTAAAATAAAATTGTGCATCATATTTCTTAAGCTGTAAATTGAAAATCTTTTAGTTTTGGTCAATTAGTGGGACAAAATAAGACTATTTTACATGTCACCTTGGGTTCTGTGGCATTCTTTCACTATTGTCTGACATTTTACAGACAAACTGATTAATCATTTAATTAAAACAGAAAGGATTTATTAAATTATAATGACCATAGTGATATTACCACATGAATGCGCCCCATATACCAATTCACAAGGCCAGACACCCAGGGCAAAAATCTACAGTGGCCCCCTTTACTGGCCCCCTCCCCAGAGCCTCAAGACTAAATAGTGCAGAGCCACTTTTTAGGCCATGTTATTACTTTTGTGTCATCCTCCTTTTTCTCCCTGAATACTAATGTAGCTAAAATAAGAGTTGTCATAATCACATTAGATAACTTTCATCCCTGAACTTTTATTTATCTGCAAACATATAACAATTCAATTCGATTTCCTACCTTGATCTTCATGCGTCCAATAGATTTGCTCAGCTTAAACATGACAAAAATCAAGCTTGGGTTAACAGGCTTCCTGCAGCAGGGGCAGGTCTCCTGCCTGTGGAGAATAAATAACATTTAGTCCTGTTTATTTCTATGTACCAGACATGAATAACAATCCAATACAGTTTTATAATGTCCTTGTTCAGTGGTGTTGATTACATTCAGTACCTCTTCAGCCACTGTAAGATGCATTTCTTGCAGAAGATGTGGTGACATGCTGCTCTGACTGGACACCTGAGGACCCCCTGGCATATGGTGCAGATCAGATCGTAGTCTGGGGTGTCCACAAACAGCTCCACGTCATAGCCCCCACTCTGTGTTGACACCTCTGGGTCTGCCTGGATGTGCCCAATGTAATACACATTATTATGGGTTATCACTGTGTGTTATATCACTATTATTTCAGGGAAAGTTGTGTCAGCTGAGGAGATGTACAAACTGTGACCCCAAATGTACCAACAGGTGAGTATTATACCTATACAGCTGTAAAACATGGTTCTACAGCTGCCTACAACCCACCCACAGTGTTTTCAACATAAAGGCAAGAGATGACAAAACAGAATTGTTCTGGAAAGTCATATGACTGATTACATGATAGCAAAAAGCAGGTATTCTTCTTTTTCAACTATTAGATAATTACAAAATGTTTATAAACACATAGCATTATTTGCGTAATTACATTTTTAGTTAATTCAAATGGCCAATTAAATTAAGCATTAATGTCATGATACTCATAAAAGACTATATACTTCCAAGTGAAAGCAAATGTCACCAGATATAACTGGAAAGCAGTTGTTCACACATTAACGATGGTGTCAAAATGAACCGCGTGTATCTGTCAATAAACCTGAATAAAAACAATAGATAAAAATAAATATATACCTAATACACACATATAAATAAACAAATAAAAATAAACAGAAGAACAGTTTGTCTACTCACCATGATAATCTCCTGTTTCTCACCGTGTCTCCATTCCCGGTCCGGCGCTGCTTTACTCCATATCGGTCCTCTCACATGTCACACACGGAACACACACCCGCGTTATCAATACAAACACACACACATGAACATTCCTGAAAAAAAAAACACGAAGGAGGGACCGAGTGTGTGCTTGTGCGGACAAATGAACACAGTCAATTTTAAAAACCAAAGGAGAGAATGGCAGCGCGTCCTTTCCCTGCTGTTCTAGTATATCAAGGCTCAGCCTCCACGCGTCAAAACAGGAACTTTTAAACATGAATAGCTCCAGCTGAGGCTATTGTTGTGGAGCTCAGGGGGACAAAAAAAAAGTAAAAGTCAAAGTTCATGTTGAGACTTTTGGGATCACGTGGCATTCACATATTTTATTTATAAACTTTAATTTCCCCTCAAAACCCGCCAGCACTTTACATGCTTTTTAAATACCACCTTTAATGAAGGTTGTCCATGTGTTGACAGTAGAAATGAGCATTTCACAAAAACCCGTCTGACCAATCACAGCTCAGTGCGCTCAGATGACGTACAATTCGTGCGACTCGGTTAGCAACATGCGGGATGGATGTGTTGACTGTCGCCAACGTGTGAACTGAGTAATAAGTCATTTACATTAGCAAAGCTGTCAGAATATTTCGGTTTTTTTTGCATTTCTCGCGAGCAAGATGGCAAATACAAATCTCCAATTCAAAACAAAGTAAGTTTTTGGCGCCTGGCACGTGCAGACTGCAAACATTGCTAGCTGGCTAACACAAGCTAGGCTAAAGTGTCACTTCAACTCACAGCCGGGTTTCTGTTTGTGCCTCCACAGTTATGTTGCTTCCAGCAAGATTGAACCGTTTTATAAAGGAGGAAAAGTGCAGGTGAGTTTCCTGCTGCTGTGTGTGTGTGTGTGTGTGTGTGTGTGTGTGTGTGTGTGTGTGTGTGTGTGTGTGTGTGTGTGTGTGTGTGTGGGTGTGTGTGTGTGTGTGGTGTGTATTACCTGTGTTACCAGGCTGACACAGTCGTAAAGGTGGTGTTTTAATGTTGCACTGCCATAAAGGTGGAGGGTTGTCAGGTGACAGATTAAAAACAAGAATGGTTAAAAGTGTTGCAAAGTGATCAAAATATGCTGAAACTTTAGACGTTAGTGTGGGACGGTGTTTAAATAACACCTTTGCAGACCTTCTCAGGAAGCTGATTGTGAATAAAATCACATGACTGCCCCTTTAACATCTCTCTCTTTGTTTTATTCAGATCAGCAAGGATGAAAAGTACATCTTTTGCACCTGTGGATCGCGTGTCAATGTTTTGGAGATCAGCACGGGGAAGATCATCCACAGTGTCGAGCATGTGAGTCCAGATTAACAACTATAATGTTTTCAACAACGGAGACTCTAATATCAAAGACCACTTTCATTGGGTCCGGGGAACCTCGTGCCCATGAGTTCTTGTTCCTTTTATTTTTCTGTGTTGCCAAAAAAAATAAAAAAGTATACCTAGCAAGATTAAGAGAATGATGTCTTATAGCAAATTCATTTTGATATCTTTTATGTGCTGTATGTAATGTGTGTTTTGCTTTTTGACTTTTAGTGATTTTAAGATAATGATAAATTAGGTATTTATAGTATTGTGTTTTTGGTAATATAATTAGAGCTAAATCAATTAATCTGTTAGAGATGATCAATAAATCAGCAACACTTTGGATAAATCATTTAAGTGATTTATTAAACAAAACATGTTTTTTCTGGTTCCAGCTCCTCAAATGTACAATTTTCCTGTTTTTCATCACTGTAAATAGAATATCTTGATATTTTGGATTGTTAATTAGACAAAAAAAAGCTAATTAAAGATGCCCACTTAGGCTCTGGCTTTATTTGTGACATTTTATAAGCTAAACAATTGTCCAGTAAGTTAAAAACAAAATCATATAAAAATAATGAAATGATTATTTGCAGCCCTGCATATGAAGTTGCCTTGTCACTCCTGAATTTTTCATCAAGCACCACAATGAAAATAAGGCTTCAAATAATCTAAACTAAACTAAAGTGCCTTCAGGGGGAATTTTGTACTTTTCATTATCATGAGATTTTTTCCATCTTTTCTGTCCATTGTTTCAGGATGATCAAGAGGACATCACATCTTTTGCTCTCAGCTGCGATGATGAGGTAAAGCAAACACCTCATTACTCATTACCTCCGCCCAACACTCATTACTTCAGTCTAACTTGGTGTGATTTCATTATATCGGCCTGTAGAAGAGTATTTAGTGTGTGTGTGTCTGCTTTGTGTCCCACCACAGTTGTTGGTAACAGCTAGTAGAGCTCTGCTGCTGAAGCAATGGGACTGGAGGCAAGCTCAGTGTACTCGCTCCTGGAGGGCCATTCACACTGTTCCCGTAGCCAGTATGACCTTTGATTCCACCTCTACCCTCCTGGCCACAGGTCAGCAGTTAGAGCATTAATTGTGTCTTTTTTGTCCGATGTTTCTGTCTGATCTTTGCTTCATAGACATTGTACAGTTTACAGAGTTTGTCTTCTTGTTGTCCTGCAGGTGGCTGTGATGGCACTATAAAGCTTTGGGATGTGGTCAAGCAGTACTGCACCCACAACCTGAAAGGGTCATCTGGAGTTGTACAGTAAGTTCAGATATCTATCAACTAGAGATGTATGAATAATTTTTATAGACCAAAGTTGGTTCTCCGTTCATAAACTGCGCCAAACAGACAAGATGAGCGTGTCTAGTATCTCACTTTTAGATCCATAGGTCCTTTCGGTTAACAAAAGTATGACCTCACAAGCGGTGTCCAATTTCCAAGGTAAACATTTCAAGCCCTACCCCTTGTAGCTCCATTCTGAAGGGTCTAAATGTCCTTTGTGTGTCTTTGCAGCCTGGTCCAGTTCCACCCAGACATCAGCAGGCTGCAGCTCTTCTCCTCCTCTCTGGACTGTGGAATTCGGCTGTGGGACCTGAGCTCCAGTCAGTGCGTTTGTGTGCTGCAGAGCCACTACAGCGCTGTCACCTCCCTCAGCTTCAGCCCTGATGGCGACACCATGGTTAGGTACTGTACACTCAGCCACTTGAAGCCAGTTATCTTTCATCATTTTGGGGGTTTCTAATCTTTCTAAAGCTGTGTGTGACTGTGTGCTGATCTTTATTTGTAGTTCTGGCAGAGATAAGATCTGTACAGTGTGGGACCTGAAGAGTCGGAAAGCCAAGAGAACTGTAGCAGTCTATGAGGTAAGACTGTGAGAACTGTGTACTGAAAACTGGTGGATATTTATTGATTTGCAAATAGATGCAAATGCCTTATTTGAATACCATGGGGAAAATACTGCAGCTTGATTTCTGTGTGTGGTCTTTGTCTCCAGGCTGTGGAGGGTGTTGTGCTTCTGCCAGAGAACGAGGACCTCTCTCAGATCGGAGTGAAGAGCAAGGGCTTGCATTTCATCACAGCTGGCAGCAAAGGTTTGACTGTTCAATTGTACAAGTAATAAACAAGTAAAAACAAGTAGTTTGTATTTCTGTGTTCCGTAACTCACCTACTCCTGCCTTCCTTGCTTGTAGGCATATTGAGAGTGTGGGAGGCCAGCACGGGGCGTTGTGTCTACACGCAGACCGCTGTGTCTGAGGAGGAGGAGGAGGAGGAGGAAGAGAAGGACGATGACCCCCGCAGTCTAACGTACCTTCTTCACCTGCCCTCTTCCTCGAGACTGGCTGCAGTCACAGCAGAACACAACATACTGCTGTACCAGCTGCCGGGTCTCACCACGCAGCAGCAGGTGTGTACTGAGGAGACAGTAACTGAAACATCTAGTATATTATTACAGCATTTCTGAATATTATGTATCTTGATGCTAGATACAATTTTAAGTCAAAATTGATTATTGGCTTTACATGTCTTTGTTTAATACAGTTTTTTAATAACAAAATAGATCTATCTTTGTCTTTACTGGTATGGGTTAATTAGCTGCCTAGAAATGTAGGATGAAATTTGGTTCCTTTTTTTTTATGGCTCAAGTGAAGAGAAAAGTACGATTATTTTTTGCATGTTTACTACTGACTTACAGGCTAAGCTAAGTTGAGTGACATTATAACAGCAAATTGTGTCACGTCAAACTAGGGACCTCAGACGTCCAGGTCTGTTTTCATTAATGAGCACTCTGTCTCTGTCCACCCTCTCACAGTTTGTGGGTTATAATGACGAGGTGCTGGATGTGAAGTTTCTGGGCAAAGATGACAGCCACATCGTGGTGGCCACCAACAGCTGCCAGCTGAAGGTGTTTGAGCTGCTCACCAACAGCTGCCAGATCCTCTCCGGACACACAGGTCAGTCACCAGCAGAGGGCAGCGTGTGTCTGTGTGTTTATATGTACAGTGCAATGCATGGCAGTATTTGTATTTGTTCACCAGAGGGCAGAAAATTCCCACCGTACTAAAGTGAGTGTGTGTTGCTCTACAGAGGTAAACAGCAAAACAGTGTAAAGAAAAGTGTATAAATGTAAAGTTTAATTTGATTTAATTATATATCAGCTAAGCATTATACTTTTTATCCATCAGATACTGTAATAATGTGGGATAAAGAGGCATTTTCTGTCTGTTTTTGTAACATTTACTGTTTCTAGATGCTATGGATGATTTTCCATGACATAGAATTCTGGCACACTGTAAATGAAAATCTTACTACAGTTACGGATATATTACCACATTGATACTAATGAACGAAGGATATGTTAATTGTCACTCAGTCAGCAGTTTTTTAAATTATCAAATATATAAGAATACCATTATTATTATTATTATTATTTTAAATAATGAATTAAACAAAACGAACATTAAAAAAAAGAATAATGCAAAAATAGAAATTACATGATTACAATTACGTACGTATTTAGTACATAAAGGCAAAAGACAGGTTCTATAAACAATGGCAGGATTGGTGAAATTAAAACCTGTCACTAGAGGAAACAGAATCCAAAGAATTCAGATGTTACACAATAAGGATTAATCTTGGCTTTGTGTCATTGAAACCTTACCTGCTGAGCAGGTTGGACAGATGTTTATCTACTCTGACACTCACTCCTATTTTTATCATTTTATCCTCCACAGATACTGTCCTCTCATTGGACGTGTTCAAGAAGGGTTTTCTCTTTGCAAGCTGTGCGAAGGTGAGGATGCTG